AAAAAAACATTTCTTACGACGAAGAAAGAAATGTTTTTCTTTACAGCAAGACGTCGAGAAGCAGCAAACATTTCTTTGTACTTTTAACTCTCAAGTAAATTATTCATGACAAAAAAGAAGAAAGTTTACAGTACAGTTAACATTAACTAATTGTTTAACGAGTAGAACCAATAAAGAAAAACAAATATTTTTGTGCACAGTATAAATATTCGATTGAGTGCAGAGGAAATATTTCATTTTAAGTTTCGCAAATTCAAAAAAGGAAGTCAGCGATGAAGAACACAACGTTAACCCTTTTCATTTTGTTTCTGTAAGTAGAAATTGGTAATTATATCAGTAAACATCTAAAAGTTCTTTATTCTTTGCAGAATAATTCCAGCAACTACAGCCGCCGTAGTCACTACAACTAGAGCAAAAACGACAATTACTACAAAACCAGCAGTAACCACCACAACTACCAGACCAACGACAGCAAGTAGGTCCTCCCTCTCCTCTTTTGAAGAAAACAACTTATTTTCTTTTGAGTAGCAGCCACTACTACAACTACAAGACCAAGAACAATAACGACAACGACGACGACAACTGCAAGAACAACAGCAGCAGCAACAAGTAAGTTAATCTGTACCTCCTCCACTTCATGTTTTCAAGAAAAACTTTATTTGTTCAGCATTGGTAGCAACGACAGTTCCAGTCGATGCTGCTGGTACTGCCATCTCAATCTGTTCGCCCTCGTCCTGTTCCAGTACCAGGGTATCCTGTTCCACGAATTTTAATTGTGACTGTCTGCCACTCGCAAACAGTTCCTCATCGGCTGGAGTCTGTGGTTATTCCTTTTTAACGTGTGATGCTGTTATCCCGTGTTTCAGTAATTTCACCTGTTCCACTCCGAATTCAGTTTGCATCAACAACAGCCGATGCGGACAGCAACTCACCTGTTTCCCCTTGGCACTGGCATTAACTCAGGTGTGTCCGGCTCAAACATCAACTGCTTCGAATGCTACAAACACTGCGACAGCGAGTAGTCCAGTGCAAAGTCAGTGTTGATCGGAGGAACGAGTGTAATGTCGCTTTTCTGTTAATTCCAATCAAGTATTGAAAATTAGACAGACTAAACAAAATTTCAGCTCGAACTGCCTTTTCCTCTGACAAGAAAGTGAAAAACAGTTCGAGAACGACGGTGGTGTTTGCCGTTTTCCACTTGATTTTGAGTTTTTGGCACTTTAACATTATTATTGTCACGTAAGAACAACAACATGATAGTTTTGCAAAAACTATTTGGTTTTCGAAATACGCAGATGTCAGATTTTTTCCAGAAGTTGAGTTTTTACCATAGAATCAGAACTTTAGGCTGATTTCGATCTATTTACTAAACGACGCCGACCCTAGCTCCTTTCACGAAGCATTTCCTTTTAAACGACTAATTTCTTGGTAGCAAATTTTACATCGTTGGCTTTCTTACTATCTTTCTACTTTTTCAGCAACAACAGCACAATCGCGACTCTGTTCTTCAGCCACATGGTACCCAAACGCAACGACGATTCCACTTCCAAATGGATCTTGGCCGACCGGCATTGCTTCTGACAGTCAACAAAATTTAATTGTTTACGACCAAATTAGCTATGGTCTTCAGAAATATTTTACAAACGGTTCATCTTTGACACTGTCGACAGGATGGTTTGCAGGTGATTTGTTCATCGATCGATACGATAATATTTATTTTAGTGACCACTATAATAATTGGGTGTTAGTATTGACTAATACAACTGGTAAAGTAACCATAGTAGCAGGCAACGGCGCTTCAGGAAGTGACCCGAACGAATTGCAGGTGTATGCTCCATCGGGCATTTATGTTGACAGAACTGCTTCGGTATATATTGCTGATACTTTCAATCAACGAGTTGTAAAATGGCTGGCAGGTGCACAAGAGGGAATCGTTGTTGCAGGAGGAAACCGTCTGGGAAGTGCAGCAAATCAATTCAGTTTTCCCCAAGGTCTGTTTGTTGATGAAGTAAATGACGGGGGAATTTATGTGTGTGACAGCACTAACGAAAGAATTCAAAAGTGGCTACCAGGAGCATCAATAGGTATAACTGTTGCCGGTGGAAATAGTTGGGGTTCAAATTTAAATCAATTGAATGGTCCCTCCTCAATCTTTGTTGACACAAACACTAGAATTATGTATATAACGGATCAGGCAAACAATAGAATTGTAGGATGGTTGTTAGGCGCTAGTTCCGGGATAGTTATTGCCGGAGGAAATGGTCAGGGAAATGGAGCGAATCAACTTTCATCTCCAAATCAATTTGCTTTTGATTCAAACAGGAATTTATATGTGGTTGATCAGGGTAACCAGAGAATACAGAAATTTGCTTTCAATGCATCGTCATGTACCAATTATAACGACTGAGTTTCATTCTATTGACGTGTGAAACTGGTGGTCTGCTGTACTGCGTTCTCGAGCTGCTTAACGTATTTTATTCCGCATAATGTTTTCTTTGGTTTGTTTTGTATTAGTGTTTTCAATTTCCAATTTTCTGCTTCACACAATAGTCACGTTCGCATACAAAGGGTGTTTCTGGCGTGTAAACGAAGGTTTTTCTTTACTTGTGAATGTCTATTTCATTACAAAAAGTGTTCGACCTTATCAAACTAAATGGCGA